TGGGGTCCTTGGTGCTCTCTGCGCTTGGTTGCTTTCTTGCAAGACGTCTCATGACCCAACTAGGGAACATTTTCCGGGCTAGAAGGGAGTAAGGTTTGTGGAGAGGAGGAGGAGCGGGAGGACTGTGGGGGTCCTTGGTGCTGTTTGAGCTTTGCTGTTTCCTTGCAGACATCTCATTACCAAACTAAGTCACATCATCAGTGGCAGAAGGAGTGGTGTTTGTGAGGAGGAGGTGGTCAGTTGGATCCTCGGGGTTTTCTGAGCTTGGTTGCTCTCTTGCAAGACGTTTCATGACCCAACTAGGTAGCTTCATCAGCGCTTAGAAGGAAGTGAATTTTATGGAAAAGGAGAAAGGAGAGGGAGGGCTGTGAGTCCTTGCGCTCTCTAGCTTGGTTGTTTTCTTTCAGACATCTCATAGCCTAACTAGGTAACACCATCAGGGCTAGAGGGGAGTGTGTGTATGGGGGGGTTGTTCTCTGTTTATATTCTATTGGCTTGAAGACCTGTCAGTCTTGCTGTGGGGGTGGTTTTCTTCTTGCTGGTTCGTCGATTGGGATATTCCTTTGTCCATTCATGACAATTCTAACACCTCGGGGGCGGGTTGTTGTTGTTGTTGTTGTTGTTATTATTATTATTATTATTATTATTATTATTTGCAACCTCCCCCCCTCCCTTTTAGCCTGTGACCACTGCTTACGCGCCCTAGAAACTGCTGAGGAAAATGCTCAGAGGCTGCTGGGAAGATTCCAGCTCCTTCCTCACCCAGAGAAATGCAGCATTCGAAAAGAGCTCCATCAGTGCTGTCCCGGCTGCCAGGTAAACCAGCATTGTGTGCGTGCGTGCGTGTGTGTGTGTGTGTGTGTGTGTGTGTGTGTGTTTGCATGCTATTAATTTTTTTTTTAAAGTCATTTGTAATGGCAAAGCCTTATCACCAAGCTCAGACAGCACCAGGGACTCCACAGTCCTCCTCCTCCTCCTCTTTTCCTTCTCCTCCTCCTCTTTTCCTTCTCCTCCTCCTCCTCCTCTTTTCCTTCTCCTCCTCCTCCTCCTCCTCTTTTCCTTCTCCTCCTCCTCCTTGTCCTTTTCCTCCCTGCAAATCCCACACCCTTCTAGCACTGATGATGTTACCTACTTGGGTCATAAAATGCCTGCAAGAAAAACCACCAAGCTCAGAGAGCACCAGGGACTCCACAGTCATCGTCATCCTCCTTCTCCTCCTCTTCTTCCTCCTTTCCTTCTCCTTCTCCTCCTCTTTTCCTCCTCCTCCTCCTCTTTTCCTTCCCTTTCTCCTCCTTTTTTCCTCCTCCTCCTTTTCCTCCTCCTCCTCCTCCCCCCTGCAAACCCCACCCCCCTTCTAGCACTGATGGTGTTACCTAGTTGCGTCCTGAAATGCCTGCAAGAAACCTCCAACTCCGAAAGTACCATGGACCCCATAGTTGTTGTTGTTGTCCTGCTCCTCCTCTTCCCCCTCCTCCTCCTGCTCCTCCCCCTCTCTTTAAACCCCATGTCAGGATTCCAGCAGTTACCCCCCTCCCCCAATTAAATCAGGAGTCTCGAGCCAAACTTCCAAAACTTCAAAAGGATTTATTGGGAGTTCACATGTCCGACACTGCCTGGGTGTGGTTGACTCTGAGACACATCATTCCTTGTCACCCTTGACCCTGGTTTCCCCCCCCACACCCCTCTGGGTGTATCCTAATTCATATTCTCCAATGGGACACCTCCATAGCCCAGAGTCATCAGTCAGGCTCTCTAGTTAGATCTTTGCGCGGCAGGAACTTCAGTCACCTCGTCACTATCTTTGAAAAACTATTTATGGAATGCGCTTTCGGTTTCCAAGCTGCCTCACTGCTCCCCCCTCCCTTTCTATTGGCAATTCTAAAAAGACCAGAGAAATATTTTATGAGTTGACACCCCGCAGTTTCTAGCATTGATGAGGTTACCTAGTGGGGTTACGGAATCTCTTCAAGAAAAGCACCCGGCTCAGAGACCACCTCGAGCTACAAATATTCTCCTTTGCAGGTTGCTCTCCACTTAACGACCATTCATTTAGTGACTGTTCAAAGTTACAACGGCACTGAACAAAGTAACTGACGACCCCTTTTTTCACACTTAACGACCGTTGCAGCCTCCCCCGTGGTCATGGGATCAAAAATTCAGAAGCTTTGCCAACTGGCTCGCTTAATTGTCTTTGCTGAACTATGGGAATTTTGGGGCTCCGTTGTGGTCGTAAGCCGAGGACCACCTGCGATGGCAGTGTGACTTTTCTTCGTGTTGCTGTCTTGTTGCTTCCCAGGTGGATTACTGCAGTTCTGAGTGCCGCCAGGCCGCGTGGAATCAGTACCATCAGGTTCTCTGCCTGGGACCCTCCAAGCAAGACCCCGGTCATCCTCTCAACAAACTGCAGGAAGCTTGGAGGTAAGAGGTGTGTGTGTATGTGTCTGTGTGTGTGTGTGTGTGTGTGTGTGTGTGTGTGTGTTTGTGTGTTCGGGTTCAGGTTCAAGAGGAAATGCTTTGAAGCAGCTGCATAATTCTTTCAAAATGGCTTTCGTAGGGAATAGGATGGAATGGAATGTAAATTAGAATGGAATGGAATGGAATAGAATGGTATAGGATGGAATAGAATAGAATGGAATAGAAAATAGAATGGAATAGAATGTAGAATAGAACAGAAAGAATAGAATAGAATAGAATAGAATAGAATAGAATAGAATAGAATAGAATAGAATAGAATAGAGAGAAGAAAATAGAATAGAATAGACTAGAATGTAGAATAGAAAATAGAATAGAGTAGAATAGAATAGAAAATAGAAAAGAAAATAGAATAGAATAGACTAGAATGTAGAATAGAACAGAAAATGGAATGGAATGGAATGGAATAAAATAGAACAAAATAGAAAAGAAAATAGAAAAGAAAATAGAATAGAATAGAAAATAGAAAAGAAAATAGAATAGACTAGAATGTAGAATAGAACAGAAAATAGAATAGAATGGAATGGAATAGAATAGAATAGAAAATAGAAAAGAAAGTAGAATGGAATAGAATGTAGATTGGAATAGAATTGAATAGAATAGAACAGAAAATAGAATTAGAATTAGAATAGAATAGAATAGAATAGAATAGAATAGAATAGAATAGAATAGAATAGAAACAGAATGGCATGGCATGGCGTAGAAGAGAAGAGAATATAGAAAATAGAATGGAACAGAACCGAATTCTTTCTTGGCCAAGTGTGACTGGACACACAAGGAATTTGTCTCCTCTGCAGAAGTGTACATACAAGCAAGAAGTGATAAAATCATGATCATCATCACGAAATCCAATATATATTGCCAGGGTCTCTCGCAAGGGGTTAGGGTCGGTTGCAGGCTACGCGTTGCATCTTGCAAAGCCAATCTGTGGGTCATTACTTTCTCTCTCCAAGGGGTTGGCTCAAAATGTCCATTTTGTCTCTGGAAGTTTCTGGAATTTCCTTTTTTAAAAACAAAAAAAAAAACACCCCCCCCCCCCCCCCGCTTCTCCTGTCTAGGAACATCCACTACCCCCCGGAGACTGCGAGCATTATGTTGATGGCCAGGATGGTGGCAACCGTCAAGCAGGTACGTGTGGGCTGTGCCCGCCAGTGAGGACGGGGCCCCTGCAGGCTAAGCCACCTGGGAGTACGGCTAGTCCTCGAGCTACGACCACAGTTCAGCCCCCAAATTCCTGCTGCTGAGTGAGACTGTCGCTAATTCCGTTTCACTAAGGGGTCGTCGAGTGAAACTTCATTTTGTTCCAGGCGAAAGACAAAGAGTGGTGGATCAAACTTTTTTCTCAGTTCTGCAATAAAACCGCCAACGAGGAAGAAGAGATCATTCACAAGTTGCTGGGAGACAAATTTAAGGTGAGGACAGTTTTTCAAAGAAAGGATCAGAGATGGCCATGGTGTGCTACCTCCACTTCCTCCTCCTCCTCTTCCTCCTTTTCCTGCTACTCCTTTGTTCCCTTTTCTTCTTCTTCCTCCTCCTCCTCTTCCTCCTTTTTCTCCTGTTCTTCTTTTTCCTCCTCCTCCTCCTCCTCCTCCTCTTCTTTTTCTCCTCCTCTTCTTTCTCCTGTTTTCTTTTTCCTCCTCTTCCCCTCCTCCTCCTTCTCTTCCTCCTCGCCCTACCCTCTCCTTCTTTTCTCCTTCCTCCT